CGCCGCTGGTTCAGCGGCATTAAATCACAAGAACTGGGTCTTTCTCGAAGGGACCTTTAAGGTAGGTTATTCTCTGCCTTACGACCAACTCCTAGAAAGGGCCGCTCCCCTCTGAGGTTTGAATCCCAGTCTGTTAGAGCAAAACCGGGGCCCCGCCAGGTCCAGGCATCGAGGAAAAGGCTGAATGAGAAGGGATCTGAGGGGCGATGCGCACTCCCCAGCAGGCTGTCACCTCGCCAGCGGCGGGAGCAGGTCCAGGCCTGGGGAGAGCAGTTGCCCGGGGAAATGACTGGGGACGATTTTATTGATTAAAGTGGCTCGAAAAATTCAAGGGGCCTGGCAGCCAGACCCAGGCCAAGCTGAGCAGCAGAATCAATAACAGGAATGGGCTGTAACTCATGAAATAAAAACAAATATTCCGAGTCCACGCAGGAACAAATAAGGAAATGGGAGAGAAAGGAAAGCTCTCCCTTACAGTAAATTTCAGTCAACAAACAGGTGGGACGCCGGACACAAAATCGCCACTTGGCGAAGAGCACGGTAATACTGTTTCGGGCGAGAATTACCACTGGATGCTACAGTCGGGAGGGGAAGAGGGTATTTATAGAGCCTCCAGGTTTTCCCACAAGATACTTATTAGTTACAAAGAGACACATAGTAGCTTCTCGGTGGGGAGCCCTGGCCCAGCACCTCCAGAGAGGATCAAAGGGAACGTCACCTGCCTCCTGTCGGGACGTACCCAGGGGGCACAGCATGGCTTCTGTGAGATTCCTGCCAAAAGCCGCGTACCCTAAAATTAAATCACGAGGAAACATCAGGACAAACCAAACTGAGGGACACCCAGCGAAATAAGTGGCCAGCGCTCTTCAAAAACACCACAGACCTGGAAGACAAGCACAGACGGAGGAACCGCCCGCAGCAAAGAGCACCAGGGGACGAAACGACTAAACGCAAGTGGCCCTAAAACGCTAGAAAGCCGTTGGTGGGACGGCTGCCGACGGTCCCCGGTTAACGAGCAGCCTTATGGGCGCTAATTTGTAATTGCTTTACGACCGGCCGGCATGTGAGAGGGAAGCCGGTCGGGGCGCATGTGGGGATTCTTTGCACTGTTTTTGCAACTGTCTTGTAAATGTGAAATTACTTCCAAACGAGCAGTGAAAAACCATTTTTAGACGCGGTTGATTTGTGGATCGTGACTGGAGCTCCGTGGCCGGGACACGGGGGTTCATTCTGCCCTTGTCCCTACTCGCACAGACAGCTGAGATATTTCGTGATGAAAGCTGAAAAGAGAGATTTAAGAGACAAAACTGCCACAGGCAAGGAGAGTACAGACCTTCCCTGGATTTGATTCAAACACATCGACGTAAAAGAACATTTCTGAGACAGTCGGGGAGATTTAAATACGGGCTGGAATATAAAAAAAAAGGGCTGCTATTAGAGACTACTAAGGAATTGCTACTGATTTGGGGCGGGTAGATTTTTTCCATTGTGATAACATACACGTCGGCCCTACCCGGGTAAGCATTTTAAAGTCTCAGGTCAGTGGCATTACGTACATGCCCAGGGCCGATCAAGGCCCAGCCTCTCCACCACCCAAAAGACCTCAGGCCCATTAAGCAGCGCCCCCGCCCACGCCACAGCCACTCGTCTATTTTACGTCTCTATGGATCTGCCTATTCTGGACGTTTCGTATAAATATCCTGTAATATATAAAGTGGGGCCTTGGTGACTGGCTGCTGTCACCACGTTTCCCACCCACACTGTGGCGTTTGTCAGCGTTTCGTCTTTTTCTAGCTGAAACGCCCCAGGGACTGAACGCGCCACGTTGTTTATCGCCCCCCCGCCGTGAACAACTCGCAATGTTTCTGTCTTTCGCGAGGCCGCGCGTCTTTCTGTGCCCCGTGGCCGTGCTGGGTGCTTTGAAGCCTTGCACGGTTGTGTCTAAAGGAACTTTTCCTTGGAAAGGCACAGTGCCGCAGCAGGAAAGGACACAATGACAGCCAGTCTGGGTTTGCTTTAACATGCAAGAGTAAAGACACAAGTGAATTTTTTAAGAACAAGAAAGGGGGAGAAGGGAGTTTGGTGAAGCCCTTTAGCTGCTGAGCCTGGGTGATGGTTATACGGGGGAGTCGCTGTCATTTTCTCTGCTTTCGTGTATGTTTGCGGTTTGTCACAATAAAAAATAAATTCTTCCCCGCGAAGCGACGGCTTGTGGACTCCTGCCGTCCTCACTGGTTCACACACAGCTCTCTTCTCTACCAGCCTCACAGGGCGTTTCCTGGGTGTTTCCCGGGCACCCCGAGACCCTGTGCCTCTGCCCTTCGTGACTATTGGGGACTCGACTTCCGTGGCCGTGGGCCGCCCTCCTCTGAGCATCGAGAGAGACCGGTGGCCTGGGCTGGAACTCACGGGAAATTCGGGTCTGACAGGAAGGAGGCCTCGGGGTCCCGACACCGCCCCCGGGTGCCAGGTCCAAGACAGGCGGCAGGGCAGCCCTGGGCGGCTGCAGACCCGGGGCAGCGTCCCCAGCTGCGCTCTCAGGAAACCCCGCAGAGGGAAGCAACGCCGCACGACCTGCAGGGGGCACTGTGCACGCTAAAGTCGCAACTGCTCTTTTTTCTTTTTAAATAGGCGTGTGCTCGGAAGGCCATCTGTCTCAGAACAGTGATGCTGCGAAGCTGGCAGGACGCACGGTCTTTTCACCCCAGCCTACGCTGTCCTCCCAGTGAAATACGTTTAACGCGCTGGAGGGACTTGCCAGCCTTGCCCTCTCAGAAGCGAACGTCGCCTAGAAAAAGCCACAGGCATCTGGTTCTCACTCTTACATGAAACTGCGGCAGGTTAAATCACTCCGTGGGCCTCCTTCGCTGTCTTTTTCCCCCTTTCCAGCCAAATCGGCCCTCGTGGTGGGGGGTCCACACGTGGCCGCCTGGGCGGCAAGGCCGCCTGAGCCCTCCAACCCTGGGCGGCCCCGTGAGGCCCCGGGCCTCCCGACACAGCTGCGGGGGGCGACCTACCTCGTGGGCCTCCAGCCCCATCTCCCGCAGGGCAGACTTGAAAAACTCTGGAGCAGGCTTCCCCACCACCTCGGCCTGGATTCCGCAGGCGAACTGCAGGACAGAAGGACACGGCGTGGGTTTGGGACGAGGCAACAGGACCCCCGCCCTGCAGCGAAGGCCTCCCTCTGGGAAACCAGGCGAGACTGCCCCAAACGTGGGCCCGGGGGCCAGGGGCCTCCAGGGGAGGGACACGTGAGCTGGAGGCACGAGCACAGTGGTGCCACACCCGGCGGCCCAGGGTGCTCAGGCCCCACCATCAGGCACCGCCATCTGCTCAAACACCCACTGTAGTGGGAGGTGCCCCCAGCTGGCAAAGTCTCGAGGCATCGCGTGGGCCACCCTGACGGGTGTCCTCGCTCACAGCCTCGCTTCTCCCCCGCCTCCTCCCCAGCCCACCCCCGCTCTGTTCCGAGCCTCCGAGAGAAAAGGTCCAGAGCTCCACTCCCCGTCTGTCCATCCCTCCCACTAAGTGCAGGTAGGCAGGAGCCAATGGAGCAGTGAGGATGGGCGGTGTCAGGGGCTGACCCTGGGCAGGGGCCTGGGCTGGGGACAGCTGACCAGTGGGTCGGATGGACACTGGGGAGCCCCACCTGGGCCTGAGTTGGGGGAGGGAGTCAGGAAGGAGTCCAGTTAGGACAGGTCAAGCTCAAGGTGCTGCAGGTGACTCAGGTGAGGAGTGAGGCGGGTGGTCCACACTGACAGAGTCCAGGAGGAGGGCGGCAGAGAGCATGCTGGGAGGGCTGGCAGGTCAGCCCAGGGCGTGCGGAGGAGAGAGGGAGGGGAGCACAGAGTGACCGGGGCAGCTGAGAGGCCCAGCTCCAGAGCAGGGGTCGCTCGGCATGAAGGCCCCCAATAGGACACCCCCTTTTCCAGAAAGACTCAGACATCCCAGGCAGCCTGAGATCTGGTGAGGGCTCGGGCAGACCCGGGGCAGGTACCTCGAGAGCCTTCATGTAGCCACCAACGTCCAGCATCAGGCCAGAGGTCGCCTTGTAGTAGCGTCTAGAAAAGAGCAGAGGGACGGGGTGAGCTGGGCCCAGACCCTGGGACATGCTGAGAGAAACTGCCCCGTCCTGCCTGGAGGGCCGAGTCGGGGCGAGGGTCAGCCCAGATGCCCTGCTGAGGATGACCCGTGGCGGCCACCACGCCCCGCTGGAGACAGTGGGCCAGCAGCAGCTCGAGGTCAGAATGGCCCCCTGCTACCTGCTTTGTGGGGACTCTGCCATGTGATTAACGGGGGACTCAAGGGGCAGATGGGTCCAGTTGCTAACAGAGAAAGACAAGAGACCTGTGTTCGGGGAAAGAACAGCAGGTCCACAGAGCATGTGGTGAACCCCTAACTGCTAATAATTAACCCCTGATTGCTGCCTGGAGAAAACCATTAGTTCCACTGGGCCCGGCCGCGTCAGCCAGAGGTCAGGAGACGTGCCGGGCTCCGTGGGCGCCAGATGCTTTTGAGAGAAGACAACCAGGTCTTCCCCGGCTCTCTGGGGACTGGATGGCTGGACTCCCAGGGAGCCCACCTCACCAGTTACCCTCTCCCCTCCCAGGCCCCTCGAGTTTGGGACGCTTTAAACCACATGTGCTCACAAGGCCAGAGAGAACAGCGAGGCATGCTGGCTTCGGCATCCAAAGCCCCTCTTCACATCTTCGTAACTGTGGGACTTTGGTTGCTTAAGCCCTCTGGGCCTCAGTTTCCTAATCTGTAAAATGGGCCCAAAAAAAAACCCCAGAACCTACTTCTGGATGGTACTGAGGCTTGAACAAAATAATGCATGCAAAGTTCTTAACATATGCCTAGTATGGGAAACGGCTAGAAAAAAATTAGAGAAGAAAGAACTGGTCACCCAGACCGAGAGTGAGAAATAGGCGCTAAGATCTGAGGTGGGGGGGAGGGGAACGAATGCGGGTCTTTCCAGTTTGTGGGGCTGGAACCTGTTCTGTGCCTGTTTGAACCGGGAAAGCTGAGCTAGCTCCCCAGGAGCTGCCCAGGCTGTGTCTTACCCCAGCTCCCTGCGCCCAGGGCCCTGCCTGCCCCTCTCTGCCCTGCCGAAGCCTCAAAGGCTCCAGGAGCCTGCGCTGCCCCCCAGCACCCACTCACCCAGCACTCGGGTGGGCCGGCACTCTCTGCCCTGGCTCTGCGTTTCCCCGCTGTGGTAGCCTGCGGGCTGGACCAGGGCAGGGCCGAGGGGCTGCAGCCAAACCCTGGGCCTTGACGAGGGCTGGGTCCCTGACGCTTGCCCTGCCAGGTGGATTCAGAGCCTTGAGCCCATCTGTTGAAGCCATGGGGGCATCTCCCGTGTGATAGGACTCACTGGCCTCCGAGTGGCCCCCAGGCCTCTGCATCAGGGTCTTGGACCAGCTGGGCCACCACTCAGGCTCAGGAAGGCGCCTGGGAGTCAGAGGGAACTGCCGCCTGCTCGCAGAGTCAGGACCGGCAAGTGCTCCCCCTTTTAAAGGGGGACCCCAAACACAGGCTTAGGGTCTGTCACTGCGTTTGTCTTAAACCCAGTCTGCGGATGTGTGTTCTGTATTTATACAGCCTGTAAAAATTTCCTTTTATTTTACCCTTTCCTATTAAAACCTCTGTGAAAAAAAAAACAAAAACAAAAACCGCTGTGGTGGGCAGTTTCCTCAGCTGGGTGCAGACCCGTGGGGACGGCAGAGCACAGCAAAGTTGGCCGCGGGAAAGCGGCGATGCTGGGTGTGGGGCCTGTGGTCACTGGCGCTGTGGCTGGCTCCGTTTACTTGGTCCCCAGATGTCTAGGACACAGCCACCTCACAGTCCCCTCAGGACTCAGGGACTCCCAGGACCAGGCTTCCCCCCGAGGGGCTCCCGGTCTGGTGGGAAAGAAGACAAGTCCACAGAGCAGCATGAAAGGGCAGGGCGAGGGCAGCCATAAGCGGGACCCTGTGCCCTGCGCCCTGGGCTTGAGGAGGTCGGACGGGCCGGGGACAGGGACACAGAGGACGGCCTGGGGACAGGGACACGGAGGACGGCCTGGGGACAGGGACACGGAGGACGGCCTGGGGACAGGGACACGGAGGATGGCCTGGGGACAGGGACACAGAGGATGGCTTGGGGACAGGGACACGGAGGACGGCCCGGGGAAGAAGCAGCAAAGCCGAGACCTGAGGCTAAGGGAGGGGAAGGAGGCGTCCGGGCCTGGGAGCCTCTCGGACGGATGAGCAGCACCTGCTGAGGACCCCTGGGCCAGGCGCCGCTGTAGGCAAAGCCCCGAGAGCACCCCCCGGTTCCCTCGCCCTGCGCCCCGTGACTGCTGCCGGAAGGGCAGAGGGGGCGGTGCCTTCCCCGGAAGCCAAAGGGAAAAATGACAAGACCACGCCACCCCGTTGCAACAGGCGCAGCTCTGCCTGGAGCTGAGGGTGCTGCGGGCCTCTGGCCGGTGCCCAGGCCTGGCTGGAGGAGGCAGGAGCCGGTGCCCCCCCAGGGGAAAACCCCCCAGGACAGCCGGAGGCACGTGCCGTCTCACACACCCCAAGTCCTTTCCTCCAAAGAGACAGAAGCCTGTACCTTCTTGTTTAAGTTTAGTCCTGATGGGAGGAAAAAACTAAAAATGCAGCTTAAAACACACAATTAAAACCTTGTCTTTTACACCTGAAACGAATACAAAATAATATTGAATGTAAACTGTCATTAAAAAATAAAAATTAAGGGGGT